AACCAATCCGAGTGGAACCTTGGGTCATGGCAGAAAGAGAGGGAGCTTCCGTAGGGCCACACCCACTTATTTGGTTGAAGGGCTCACTGAAGTCTACAGCGTCCGTTTCCCAGTAGGTGCGGTTGCAAGCTGGCGTCTGTCTTGGAACAAGCTGCTTACTTGGGAGCCAGCATTAACATCGGTAATAACGGCAGCATCGAAATTCAACGCAGAAAAATTTTTGCCAACAAGTGATACTTTAGACTGAGTAAGCAGTTAAGAAGTAAAGTCCCCTCTCGACGTACGAGAACCACGCTCTATAAGTCACTCATTATGCCCGTGTTGATATATGGCGCAGAAGGATGGACAATGACAGCGTCCGATGAGGCGGCTCTTGGAGTATTCGAGAGAAAGATTTTGCGGAAGATTTACGGGCATTTGCGCGTTGGCGACTGAGAGTACTGCAGACGATGGCACGATGGGCCGTATGAGCTTTACTACGATGTGGACATAGAGCAGCGAATTAAAATAGCGGCTCCGCTGGCTTGGTCATGTCGTTCGAATGGACACCGACGCTGCAGCTCTGAAAGTATTCAACTCAGAACCCGCTGGTGGTAGCAGAGGAAGAAAGAGATCCCCACTGCGATGGAAAGACCAAGTGGAGAAGGACTTGGCTTCACTTGGCATTTCCAATTGGCGTCAGTTGGCACAGAAGAAGAGCTACTGGCGTGCTTTGTTGAACTCGGCCAAAATTGCTTAGACGGTTACAGAGCCAATTTGACTGTTGCTGACTCACCTCATTGCGATTTTCACTCAATTTCTATGAAACTGCCACGTCTGTCACTACAAACGTTTGATGGAAAGTTCTCAGATTATAATAATTTTATAAAATCGTTTAATTTAGTCGTTAATAAGCAGGTTTCTTTGTAATCCATCGAAAAGTTTAATCAGCTAATCAAGAACCGATAATCCAGCGCTCGTATTCAAGGAAAACATAAGTACGTTTGTTTTTTAATTTACCCAGTGTATTATGGCCAAATACGAAATGGTATAAGCTTTTTAAAAATAATCTTAGTTTTGCATGAAATTTAAATTTTTGGTACTGTATACATATGGGAAAGTCTCTGGAACTTTGTGCTTTTGTGTCACTGACATTTAAATAAATTCTGTTAAAGTAATTTTATTTGTTATACAAAACTTGACCCATTTTTATTTTAATAACGTAATTTAAATTTTTATAAATAATCCAAGGAATTAAAATAACAATTTTGACGTGCCACTTTGGGCGCCTTTTGTACATTTTTATACCTGAGCGCACTTGTGCACAAGGGTATTATAACTTTGTCACTTAACGGTTGTTTGTAACAAGCAAAACGAATCGAGATAGATATACATAAATGATTCGAATGAAAAAATAAATCGATTAAGCGGCGACTGTCTGTCCGTCCGTCTGTCCGTCTGTGCACACGATAACTGGAGTAAAAATTTAGATATCTTAGCGAACCTTGTACGTTTACTTCTTTTCAACGTAGCACGGATGGCATTGAAAATTGGCAGAATCGGACAATAACCACGTCTATCTCCCATAAAACGGTAGTTTTCAGAAATACGAAAACCGCGATATTTTAGTAACTAGTGAAGTTTATTATCTCAAAGTTGATATTTACAATGATTTTGAATAAAGTAATATTATACATTTTTGGAAAGTGGGCGTAGCCACCTCTGTATATCTCCGTGCCAAGTTTTGGCCTTATTATTATTGTTATTATATTTTTTACTCCGAAACTTTTTTTAATTGTAGCTATTTCTTGATGAAAGTGTTCGCCTTGTTCAACACTGAATGAAGTAAATGAATTTTTGTGGGCATATTAAAACACATTACAGCATTCAGAATTCGTTAACAACCGCGACATAGTCGTCATTTCTTCCAAAGAAATTATTGCATAGCGCTACAAAACACTTCCATGCACGTTTTTCCAAAGCCCACTTCGCTCATCATTTTACGAATTTTATTACGAAAATAGGGTTAGGGGTATTCTCGGACTCTTGCAAAGCCCTTGAACGATGCATGGATTGCACGAAAAAACCCGGTTTTCATATGGGACAGCTTTGCAAACCGTGCAATCCGGGCACCGTGCAAGACTGTGAGAATATTCTCATTCTTGCAAGACTGTGAGAATATTCTCATATTTGTTGTTGGTGTTTCCGACAGGGTAGGATTGTGATGTGATGTGGAACGATTTTCTCTCATCCCTTATCAAATTTAGTTTGAGGACAAACCGGTTTCGGCGTTGTGCCACCGTCAGTATAATTTTTCGTTCTGAATAGTTTCTGTTTATCCATATTTAGCGGTGCTAAATCGTCGGTGGTTCCTAGCTAGGTACGTCTCAGCGGACTGTATTCTTTCGTTCAACCAGTAGTTTTGTTCTGTGTATACATCCTCATGTAGAAATCAGCTGCTCACCTCTTCTTGATTAATTGTAGCAGGGATTCCCAGGTAGGTAAAAATCAGTTAATTTCTTTCTCTTTGTTTCTGTAGTTTGAACCTGCATTTCATTGTTTATGGTAGTCGCCGGGTTTCTGTCCTGTTCTTTTTTTTCGTATTGTAGTCTGAGTGGTTCGAATAATATATAAGACGCGGTGTTTATTTGCTCATTTATTATTTTTCCGACGAGCATCTTCTGTTTGTATATCTCTATATTTTCTAATACGTTTAGGCGTTGTTCTTTTGTGTTGTTAATGGAGAACTTCGGCTGTACTGTTTCCTATTTTCATTGGCGTACAATGCGTTTATGCCATATGGTTTTCAAGGTTCGATTCCGGTGTGGTAGATGGTTTAAGCATTTTTTGTTGTAGTATCTTATATGTTCGCGTTATCTTGTTTGTCCTAGGTAACGATGTTAACATTCGCAAGTCAACTAATATACACCTTGCCTGTCTAGTGGGTCCTCCTTGTTTGCGCTATTTCGTAATATCTTCCCGACGTTGTCCTTCGTTCTGAATGCTGTATTAATGTCATACTTTTGGAATACCTTAGCCAATTTATATGATGTTTTGCCCGTATAAGTTAAGACTACCCAAGCCTTTTCATTATTTTCCTTCTTATTTGATTTCTTCGTGTTTGTTTCTCTTCTTATCTTGTTTACTAGGCCCTATCTGTATCCGTTATTTTCTGCCATTGCGTATATATTACTAAGTGCTTTGCTGCAAGCTTATTTTTCCAGTGGTTTCGTTCAAGCCTGGTTACTAGATGTCCATAGGCTGCATTTTTGTGCTGTTGAGGGTGGTTTGAAGTATTGTGTATTATCGTGTCTGTGTCCGTAGGCTTCCTATATAACCCTGATTCTGCCGAGGTTGCTGGAATGCAAAGTAATGGTCCACACAAGCTTTAACTGGTTTTATGTCATTTTCATTTAACTGTAAAAAATAAAAGTATACAATTTTATGTACTTAAAATGCATATAAAACTGCATGTAATTACTGTACTGTACTGCATGTAATTTACCACCTTCCAGAACTCTAGTGGATCGGCACCTTGGCCTCTCCAGGCACTGGTAAACAGCTATGATGGCATCAGCTCTCACTGATTTCGACTTTTGCTCTATCTTTTTATTGAGGAAACTGAAAAGGGGCTGTTGATGTGAATTTGGTTGTGAATTAGATGACGATGACGGTTCGTCCGATGCCGATGATGCTTTATAAAATGCAGTTATTTCATCTTCTAAATTTTTTGTTGCCTGCTCACTATTGTAATTTAATCTGAAACCTTCTTGGTCGCAAATTTTGAACGGTCCACAGGACGCTAGACACTGTTCCTCTGTCGTTGAATAATTTTTCTCATTCTTATTCAAGGACATACTCAAATAGGCTATCACTCTCACCGTCCTCAAATCTCTGGGTCAACACTGGTCCTATATCGAAATCAGATGCGTCTGTCTAGATTGTGCAGGGCCTCTCGAAGTCTGGGTAGCTGAAAACCGGCGCCACGCTTCTACGCCACCCTAAAGCTTCTTTCGCAATCTTCGTTTCGTTCGAACTTTCGGTTCTTCTTCGTTAGCTCGGTGAGAGATCTAACTAACTCTGAGAAATCTTTAATGAACCTACGGTACCACGACACCGTACCTATAAAAGAACTAGCCTGTTTTGCGTTCTTGGGCCTCTCGATATTTACCATCGCTTTTACCTTTTCTGTATCTACGTGTAAACCGTGCTTGTCTACAACGTAGCTTAAATACTTTAATTCTGACCTAAAAAATTTCATTTGGCTCTAGTAAATTCGCTCTAATCAATCCTAACATCCTACTTTCCGACACAGGCTTCTGTTACTTACCTGAACCTTACATGAACCTCACGGCTACTACGCAAACACTTATGGAGTCATTCGCACACTGCGTATACCTTCGAATCTCGGCCATCAATAAATCATCGTTGCTTATTATTATTTATTTACTCAAAGTTGATACTCGAATCAATCTCATAAAAAGAAATAAGATTATTATGGAGTATTGGAAAATGGGCGTGGTAACCAACTGAGTATATTGTCGAAGATGTTTTAAATAAGGGTAAAGCCAACCCTCCTTAGCATGTGAAGGTAGTTTTTAGAAATGTGAATAAACTATATTCAATACGTGCGCTGGGTATTTAATATTCGGCTTCGCCCGAATTTAGACTCTTCACATGATACAGTATTTAATTACTAAGTACTTGTTTATCAAACCAGAACATTTCCCCCGCTATTTTATTTACCTTATCAAACAGGCTATCGATTTTGGTGGTAGACGATCAAAGCTCATAATACGACCATAAATTTTCGTAAGTATCAATCAATTAGTGGCTATGGTGGAACGCCCTAATCACGAAGTCAATAGCTCCACGCGATATACTATTTTTAAATAAAACATCACTTCAAATGAAACCACCAAAATGGAGAAAGTTGGTCACACTTTATTTAATTTAATAGTCACTTCCCTGAATTCAATTTAAAATGCACATACACATACACGTAAATTAGTACTTATTACTTATGTAGGATTACAACCGTTTATAGTTGTACGAATCCAATCTACATGATAAGAAATTCTAGCAAATACATCTGGAAAGCCACGCCCACATGGTACTCCCCAATTACCTATACCCACAAGTCTACCCTGGGAATCGACAAGCGGCCCACCCGTATCACCATGGCAGGCACCTTCGCCCACTGACGAGTTGGTGCATAAATGTCCCATATCCACATCGTCCGAATTGCCATAAGCAGCGCGACATTTTTCGTAAGGCAAATACTGCACTTTAAGTACCTTCAATTCATCTTCATACCATTCGCCCTCCACCGAACTACCCCAGCCAGTCATGGTCAGCGTTTCACCTTCTTCCAGTTCATCTTCATCTGCTACTGTAATATTTTTCGTCTGATCATCATACTCGATGGAAGTGGCCAACTTAAGTAAGGCGATGTCATTTGAATATAGTGGTTTATCAAAATTGCAATGCACGTAGATTTTTTCGACATCATACTGCCATGCTAAGCCCATCCATTCGTTCGTGCTCGTTATGACTTTCACCAAATTCCTTTGCAGTCCGCTCACACAACTAGCTGCCGTCACAACGAACTGATCACTAATGATCGCACCACCACAAAAGTGACTGCCATAGATGTTTTGTAATGAAACCTGCCAGGGTGCAGATGCTTCGGCCGCTACTTCACCGCCCACAATGCGTCCAGTTGCGCGCGAATCACTTTTAGAAAATGTTGGGCGAGTATTACGATGGAGTACGCCTTCATAGGGAGCACCGTATAAACGAAGCGTCGAGCCAAATGAAAATGTTAAAGCTAAATGTGCGATGAATATTTTCACTGCCGCGGAAGACCACATTTTAATGCTGGTTATTTGTTGGATATTAAAATAACATCTGATCCAAAGTTGGGTAGTACTTAAAACTTTATAAAGTTCAATGTTGACACAATCACACAAACACTGCATTAAGATATGTGTTTACGCCAGTTTTCATTATTTTATTGCTTCTTGATAATATCGTGATAATTAAGTTGGTTGATAGCATTTGAGTTTATGTATGTATGTAAAAGGAAGCAATTGCGTAGTTTTGGCCACAAATTGCTCGGAAATTTAACTTTGCTATTCGTGGTTTACCGCCGATGGGCTCTAGGGATTTGAGATGCATTTGACAACACAGAAGGGACCAGGTGCGATTCCTGGACCGATCAACTTAAAAAAAAAAACTATTTTTTAATACCCCATAGGCGGAGAATGAAGAAATTTTCGAGTGCATTTCTGCCACGAAAAGGCTTCCATATGCAGTTCGGAACCGACGTAAGACTGTAGCTGAAATCGGGCACAAATATGTTGCGAGAAGTATTTTAGTAGAGCCTTAGCATTGCCAGTAGTATGTTCGATTATTCGGCTTCTGTCCTTAACCCGGTTGCCGAGTTAATCAAAAAATTGCAATATGAAAAAAACGGTTCCCAATTTTGAAATTTACCGGATAACTAGTTTTATTTTACATAGTTTTCATAAAACTATATTGGAATGAAGTCATGACTCCGTGGCGCTTTACATTCTATAGGCTTAATACCTTCGATTGATAAAGAATTTGTTCATTAAACAAACGAGTACTAAATTAATTAATAATAATAATTTTTGGAAATTTAATTAAAAATATCCTGGCCAGGATTTTTTTCAGCCAACCCCAGGCACACCAATAACGTAGTTCGGTCTCTCATTCCTAATTCGCACTCCAATTACCCTAACTCATTTGTTTCGGTGCCGTCTCTAATTTTTATCGGAAATTTATCGAAAGTAGCTGACAAATCTAAACTTGCATTTTTTCTGAGTACGAAAAGTAAAGTTTATCAATGTGTATATCCCCAATTTAATACAGAAACTTACAAGTTTTTAGGAAGAATCTACATTTTGCATAAATTTTGCAGCAAAGAAAAACAAAAACAAAACACAAAGACAGAGAACTGTCAAATCGAATTGAGAATGTGCACGTGGGACTGGGGTAATTCGCGATCATAATCAGGGGAGCGAATTGTATTAGCCTATGTAATTATGAAAAAGTTTCTGTGAAGTTCGGAATGAAATCGTTTTCAGCGAAAAATTTAATCAGATAAATCTCAGGAAAACTGCTTAAATCTCATCCGTTTAACCACCATTGTCGATAGTTTTGTGTACATACGTTTCGGATGAACACTTTAGTGGGAGAACGGTTCGAAAAGCGAACGAAAATGGAATCCGAAAACAGATGAACCCCCCCCTCCCCTGTGGAGGGAAATATGCATAAAAATTTAAGATAATAAATAATGGTAAAAATATTTTCAGATCTCAATTATATAAGATCTCTTTTCAGAGACAGTATTCGAGAAATCTAGCTTTAATTTAAGCCAGGAAGGTTGTATCACCTTTTGTTTCTTTTCTAGAGCTTCTAAAATATTGCAAAAACCGGGAACTTTTGACGTTTGAGCTCGTAATTTCCATACTAAATTTTTTTTATATATTTCTAGAGCTTTGTTATCCATTGAAAAATGAGCAAGAATTCAGATTTACGTTTTTTTTATTCAGAAATTTCTCCTTATGTGGTCTATACCACCCTTCGCTACCTTATTTAGTTATAAATTTGCAAAATAATTCAAAACTACATCAAGTGCTATTAAAATATATTAAATTTCCCCCTGACTTATAGGCATTTGTGACCACTTTGTGAAAAATTGCATGAAAATGCTGAACTTTTGGGCCGTTCGACGTCTTTCCATTTTCCGATTGTAAAAATTTTTCGCAGGGCATGTTTTTATGACCAAAATAATGTTCTCCATATTACTAAGGCGCAGTCTAATGTCCAGGCATGGGCAGAGAATGAGCGCACAATGGCCTTGCTTTTCCCAATATTCATCGCAATCTGGATTTTAATGTTGACTCTGTGTTAAAATAATTTGTATCTATACCTCGGTGTAACTTTTCTTTGACTTGCTAAATTATATCCACAATTAAATACAATAAATTATATTAAGTTATAAAGATCTTTAACCAAGACTTGCGCCAATGTACGTCAAAGAGCGCTGGTATAGCGGATAATTACGATCCCATTTAGCGATGCTGCTGTGCTTGCCAGCAGTTAAAAAACGTCAACTTTATTTATTTACTTTTTATAAAGTAATGACACCAAATAGTTAGCGGAGTTGGAGCGTTCTTTTCAGCTCGTTTACAAAAGATGGGGGCTTCTTTGTGTTCTAAACGCGTTTCTAACTCAAAATTATTCCAGTAAATAATTTTCTTTATCAGCCAGGCAAAAAATAAAAATTAAATTGGCCAGCAATCTTTCTTTGACCATTTTATGAGTGCAGGGTGAAGAAAAAAGCGCACTTGTATTAGACCAATTAGTCTTAATTTGCTATCAATTATGAGTACAATAAAGAAGTATACTTTAAAGTGACGCCGCTTGATTTTATTGTTGCTGATCAATATATGGATTCTTAGCATACATGTAAGCAAATGCACTCGATTATACTTGTGAAAACATTTCACCACACCACACGCACACAAAGTAAGAGTTATTGCATCATAAACTTTAAAATGGTATGTCCATGACAATGCACCTGGTATGATCATTGGAAATATACTTAAAAGTCATTATAACCTATCATCCTATATACATATGTAAATAGATATAAATATAAAGGAAAATTTTAATAGTATCTCTAAAAGCGTTTAGTTTACAGTTCACGCTTGGCAAAAGTATACAAGCGGGTAAATGATGTTACAACCAGGCAATGCTCTAGCGCTGATAATTGGACTTTGTGTTGCTATCGAACACACACAAGCAATACGCATACTACCGGAGTATATAGGTTACGATAATAACCAGATGGATAAGTCAATTGAAGGTCGCATCGTTGGTGGTGTCCCGGCCGAAGAGGGTGCGGCACCTTATCAAGTGTTGATAAAAACTATTTGGGACTCTCATGTCTGTGGCGGTGCTATCATCTCGGATCGGTGGATATTGACCGCCGGTCATTGTATGCAGGATTTTCCAATTGAATCATTGCTCGTGGTTGTGGGCACAAATATTTGGAGCAAACCGGGTGCCACATATCGGCCCGAACTCGCCTACATACACTGTCGCCATGATATGCCAATTTACCAGAATGACATCGCTGTTGTACGCCTCAATGCCACTATACAATTCAATAATGTAACACAACCCATTGAGATGTATACGAATACACTTAAAGCTGGCGATCAAGTGACAATGACTGGCTGGGGAAGCCCCAAACTCAACTGGCCCAATACAGATGTGTTACAAATACAAAATTTCACTATTATTTCCAGGCAGGAATGCTTGCAACGTTGGGATAATCATGAAGGTGTTGGCTATGGACATATTTGCACGTTTACTAGATCGGGAGAGGGTGCTTGCAATGGCGACTCGGGTGGGCCGATAGTGTACGAAGGAAAATTGGTAGGCCTGGTTAATTGGGGTGCGCCATGTGCAATGGGAAAGCCAGATATGCATGCGAGTGTGATCTACTATCGCGACTTTATCGAGCGTTCGCTGGCGCAGTGCTCAAGACAGCGGGGCCGATGATGGCAGTTTTAAATTTAAGAAAAACGTTTAAAATTTGCAAAATTGGAAAATTAGATCGCACTAGTAACGAAGCAAATTAATTAATTACACACGTACTTTGGCAATTATAATAATTAATAAATTTAAAACATGACTCAACAGTAAATTTGTACTTAGCGAACGTTCAAAAGTTTGTGTTACATGTATAAATAAACAAATAAAAAAGGCCGTTTTCTAAGTATTGGAAACAAACATGAACGTTCACAATTCATAGGCAAATTTCGTCAATGAATTTAGAAAATAGTCTGAGTGCACGCAATTCTGCTAAGCAACATTTTGGATCATAAACTAGTCGTCATAAAGATACCCGCTTATTTTTATTGGCCCTCTTAAAAGTTCATAAATTCTCACGTTGAAATATGTATGTACATATATCTGCAATTACAATGATACAGAAGCTATGCCTGGCTTGAAATACTGGTGAATTGTGTACATATTTTCATATGTACATACATGCAAAAAATTTACCACTTCTAAACTAAACCGTCCGAAATTATTTTATAGCCTACTTCGCCGTAACTGCCGTTACAAATGTTTTTGGATGCACAAATCGACAAATTATTAATATCTCAAACAAATATCCAAGTTTTTCGCAAAGTTATCATATAAAGACGATCGCGCAATTGATGAAGTTACATTTAAAAAAGTTTAGAAAAATTTGTATTCACAATGAGTAAAAGGATCATGATTTTTTTTAAGAAAGATCAGCTGCAATCAAAAACGTTTTTAGATCTCCGATATGCCGTAATATTTCGGCCTTAAAAGAGCCTATCTACAGAGAGGAAAATTCTCCCGTTTGGAAGAATTTTATTCCAATTTTATAAGGTGTGGTTAAGAGGTAACATGAAAGTTTTTTTTTCATTAAAAATATTATAACTATTCCACCATTTGAGATAGAAATTTTTGCTTAACATGAAAATTTTTTTTCACTAAAAAGCTATAACGGGCTTTTAGGACCTAAAAACCTATAAAAAAAAGGCAAAGTCAAATAGCGAAATTGGCAAGAAAAGGCACTAGCAATAGCAAAAAAGGCAAAAGAAGGCACTAAAAACGACAAAAACTGAAAAATTTCACTGGTTTACAAGCAAAATATTCAATACAATCCCTATATAGAATTGCTCGCCGAAAATCGAGTTAATTTTTTATGCTATGGAGATATTTCAGGTGTACATGGCGTATGAGTAACCTTCTTTCCTGCTCATTTTTCATACAAAAAATCTTTGCGCATTTTCATATAACCACTTATTACATCTTTATTTATTCATCGATTTTCTTCATTATCAACTTGATTTTTTTTTTTTGTAACAGAACAGGCTTTAACACAGCTTTGAATGTACTATTTAAACGTGCGCTCGACGTGAGTTGATACAAATGGTGGCCAATTTAAATATGGAACGTTTGCAATTTGTACATTATCAGGAATAAGGGCTTTCTCCTCGCTATAATTACTTTTTTAAAGATACAATAGGCAAAAAAAAGGCAAATATATTAAAAAAGGCAAGAAAAGGCAAGGTCAAGTTTGTTTATATGGAATCAGGGAAAGCTAAATCGTGGGCATTCTTAATCGAATATACTCAATCCGTTCCCTGGTTATAACTATTGAACCGTCTGAGATAAAAATTTTTCTAAGCATATTATTGAGGGCATTTAACTCTCTAAGAAATCACTTTAAATTTAGTTACATTAGAAACGCTTAACACTATTAAATATGTGAATGATATTTCTAAACGAGGTATAGCGTTGATAAAAAATTATGATCGGACTTTGACTAAAGACGAAGAACAAAAACAAGTTATTTTGCAAGTAGTGCAATTACACCGCCAGCAATATCCTAATTGCAATAAAATTAATTTTTTAATAAATAAAAAGAATGTTAACGGCCAACACACAAAAGAGGTAAGGAAAACGAAGGAAAAATGATTTATTTGGACATAAGAACAAAAATAGCTAACACACATGATAATGGATAACACTTCAAGCAATCCTCAATAGACCAAAAAAAATTTCGCCTTTAGGCATCTAGTAACAAGGTTTGAATGAACCCCATTGAAGAAAGAAGCTTACAACCAAGAACTTAATACAATATAGGCAATGGCGGATAATAACAGATGCAGAAAAGGTCTAGTAAACAAGGTCACTTTTTATTGGAGTGTCCAGCCTTCGGTGCCCTCGGCGCTAAACCCATTAAAGCAAGTGTTTCTTTTCCAACTGTAATCAATACTTTAAGTGTCGTAGAATATTCAGCTGAAGGTATTTATTATTTATTTGGTACCTTTCCATAGCTCTTATCAAAAAATTCACATACTTTTTGCTAAAGATTACTAGTAAAAAAAAGTGTGAGTAATGGTTCGTCAGAGAATTTTGAGTTTTCATTTAATATCATAAATT